TTCCTATCCAGGAGCATGGAATATCTTGCCCTTTTCTGACATCCTCTACAATCACTTTTTTCAGAGTACTGTAATTTTCCTTGAATAGATCTATTGCTTCTTTAGTTAGATTAATTCCTAGATATTTCTATTTTGCAGTGCTATTATGAAAGGTATTGTTTCTCTAATTTCTCTCTCAGTGTGTTTGTTATCTGTGTAGAGGAATGCTATTGACATTTGGGTATTGACTTTGTATCCTGCTATGCTACTGGATTTGTGTATCAATTCTAGTACTTTCTTCATGGAGTTTTTTGGTCTTCCCAGTAGAGTATCATGTCATCTGCAAATAGCAATAGTTTATCACCTTCTTTACCTATTCTTATTCCTTTTATTTCTCTCTCTTGTCTAATGGCTCTAGCTAATGATTGCAGAATTACATTGAACAGGAGTGGTGATAGAGGACATCCTTGTCTTGTACCAGATTTAAGAGTAAAAGATTTCAGTTTTTCCCCATTTAGAATTATGTTAGCAGTTGGATTGTCATAGTTGGTCTTCATCAGATTGAGGTAGAAGCCATCTATTGCAATTTTCTGTAGGACTTTGAACATGAATGAGTGTTGGACTTTGTCAAAGGCCTTTTTTGCATCAGTAGAGGTGATCATGTGGGTTTTTTTGGGGGGATTTGGCTCTATTGATAAAGAGTATTACTTTTATAGATTTTTTTTTACTTGTATAGATTTTTGTATGTTGAACCATCCTTGGATCCCTGGGATGAATCCTACCTGGTCTTGGTATGTAATTTTAGTGATTTGCTGTATTCTATTTGCTAAGATTTTATTGAGGAGTTTTGCATCTATGTTCATGAGGGAGATTGGCCAGTAGTTCTCTTTTTTAGTTGGATCTTCCTCTGGTTTTGGTATCAATATATCTGCATTTTGCGAGGATTGCTTAATTTTCAATTTCATTGAAGAGTTTGAGGAGTATTGGGATTATATCTTCTGTAAATTTTTTATAGAATCCAGCTGTGAATCCATCATGACCTGGGTTTTTCTTTGGCAGCAAGTTCTTTTTATTAATTTTCTTACATTTTGAATTTCATTGGCTGATATTGGGTTATTAAGAGTTCTTATATCTTGTTGATTCAATTTTGGTAATTCGTACCTTTCTAGGAATCTGTCCATGTCCTAGTTGTTTTTGAGAGATCTTTTCTTACCTTTTCACTATCCACAACCATGTCTTCAAGGTCTGAAAGCGTATCTTCACTTTAATTCAAATGGTTTTGCCAGCTTGTTATTGAAATTTTTTTTTTTTTTTCAGAACACAGGGATTGAACTCAGGCCCTTGCGCTTGCCAGGGAAGCGCTTATTCCACTGAGCTATCTCCCTGGCCCTAAAATTTTAATTTGCTGTATATCTCTTTGAATCTGCTTCATTCATTCTATTTCTTTCTTTTATTGGTCATTGAAGAATTCCATCATTTGTCCGTTCTCCTCTATTTTTTTTTTTTAAATCAGTGTCTACTTTAGAAGCACTTAATAATTCTTTCCTTATAGTTATCATTTCTTTTTCTACTTTGGAGATTATTTCTGATCTGATTTCCTCTACATCTTTCTGTAATTGTTTCTTCAGACTCTATTATTTCAGAGATTTCAGGGTGTG